CTCAATCTCTATAAAGTGGGTACTCTTAATTAAATAATTAATCAAGGGGAATTATTTCCCCCTGGCCTGGCCCCTGGCCCTGTGATCTTGGTCAAATCACCTCCTTGTGCAACCATTGACCAAGAAACAGTGCTTTCCCTAATTAGTACTGAACCCAAGACCTTTCATAAGTTGTGGTGGTACAGATTTTTTTTTTTTAATATTTTTTGATTCACAGAACATTAAAAGAATTATCTACTATGTAAACAATAGAATTGAAAAATAAATACGGATACCTTGTGCCTCATTGTCAAGTCACTAACATTTTTAGTAAAGATAAAAATTGCAGGTAAAATTTTTAAATTATTTTATATTTTTTAGAAATTTATGAGAGGAAAAACTCGTCAACAAGCTTAAATATTATTTTCATTCTAATTAAAAAAAAAAGGTACATAAAATAGGTTTGCCTGAAGTTGTCAAGTTAATTGTATTCAGATAATAGCTTATTATGAAATTACACACCATTAACTAACTTTATTTTATTAATTAATTTAATTTTCTTACAAATTAATGGACAAAAGTATAACTGTAGATATGATTAAATATAAATAATCGAAATGCACTGGAACAACCTTAAAATAGATATTTTTTTAAAAAACTATGTCTCCAAAAACATATTAATGGATCCTGTGTTGAAGAAATTTGAAAAACTCAAATAAGTCGAAACACAGTGGTATAATCTAAAAATGGAGATTAATTTCATTAACTGTGGCTCCGAGAACATATAAATAGACTCTTATATCAAAAAAATCCATAATACTCAAATAAGTCAAAAGGCAGTGGCATAATCTTTAAAATGGAGATTATTTTCAAAAAGTATCAGAAACTTTATGCTCAATTGCTCAATCTTAAACCTGACAGCATTTTCATATAAAGTGCCCTCGACAACATAATAGTGGACTCTTATATTGAAAAAAACCTTAAAGTTACAAAACATTATTCGAAACATATTTTTTTCTTAAAAAAACGAATAATAGTTAATGCAAGTTATATTTAAATTACGAATAACAAACAATTATCTATGCAAAGGTCATCGAATAAGAATTGATCTATTATTCATTGTCTAGATGAAATTTCGAATTACGCCCAGCACTGATTGTGGACCAGAGCTATATATCTAGTTGTACCATGCTTTGGATAGAATTATTAAAGGATATGGAACTGTATATTATGAGAAATATGCTTCTGCTCATTCACTCCTTAAAACTGATAACTGACATTTTTTAAAGTATGAACTCGTTTGGTAATATTTTTTATTCAATTGTAAACTAGCGAGAGTTAAAATGAACATGGGGATAATATAACAAAACTGGTTTGATCAAGGCTTGATAAAAATTGGTACCTAATAAATATGAGCTAATCTGGTTAGATACGGGGAATTAGTTCAGAGGTGAGATTATAAAATAAACAAAGCTTATGTTATTAACTTATTCTTATTTAACATAATCTAAACTTATGTAGAAAAAGATTAAAATGATGGATATCAATCTTTTTCTACATAAGTTTAGATTATGTTAAATATAATTATAATTATATTTGGAGAGGTTGGCACGGTGAAAAAAAAAATAAAAGGAGGAATGCAGCATTCCACATAAGTAGGCATTAAATATAACCCCAACAAATATGACTCTAAACTCCTGTTAGCTTTGAGGAATGATCAGTTCAAAGATTTATTGGTTAAGAACTTATCAAATTAATAGGTTCTGTAAAAATAGTGTCCTAGAGACTCATCCTCAGCGACAATATTTGCAGATTACTTCCCTTGATTCAAAAGAGGCCTAAGATAAATAATAAATTTGCTAAAATAAATTTTATTTAGTTTAGTTTTTTTGTTTTTAGTTTTTTTTGTTTTTGTTTGTTTTTTATTTTTTTTGTTTTTTTTTAGTTTTTTTTTTTTGGATTTTAATATTGGTACGTGGAACGTAAGGAGTTTAAACACAGCAGGGGGGCTAAAATCGGTCGCGAATGAGGTAAATGGGTACAATTTGGATGTCGTGACTCTGCAAGAGGTTCGCTGGCCAGGGGAGGGCTCGATGAGGGAAGGAAGTACACTATTTGGTACGGAGGAAGCGGAATCATTGTTTAGGTACCGGGTTTCTAATTAGGAGTAGATTACTATCCGCTTTGAGGGACGTACAATTCTTTAGTGATAGAATTTCGGTAGCTACATTTCAGGGACGTTGGTTTAAAATCGCATTAATAAACATACATTGTCCGACCGAAGACAGTGACGATGAAGTCAAAAGTGAATTTTACGATAAACTCGAATGGGTTTATGATAAACTACCGCGAAACTACATGAAAATAATTGTAGGTGACGCGAACGCAAAGGTAGGAAGGGAAGAAGTTTATATTCCGACGATTGGTAAAGAAAGTTTGCACGAATATAGTAATGATAATGGGATCCGTCTGATAAACTTTGCCATCTCGAAAAACCTGATAATTAAAAGTACGACGTTTAAACAAGGATATTCATAAATATACTTGGACATCACCGGATTCGCAAACACGAAATCAAATCGATCATGTCTTGATACAACACAGCTGGCAAAGCAGTATAATTAATGTACGGTCTTATCGCGGAGCAGAATGTGGGTCGGATCATGAATTAGTAATCGCGAAACTTCGACAAAAACTTAATATAAAAAAGAGAAAAGAAAACCGTTTCGATTTTGAGAATTTTAATTTGGAAAAATTAAAAAATCCATCAATTAGAAACCAATTCGAGCTAGATGTTAAGAATAGGTTTGAAGCTTTAGAGCTTCCTGACGAGGACCACGAGGATATTGACAAGTTATGGATAGAGATCAGGGATAATATTAAAGCGGTCGGTAACTCGTGTCTAGGAAAAAAGGAAAATAAGAATAACAAACCGTGGTTTGATGAAGATTGCTTAAACATGTGTGAAAAAAGAAAAGCCGCTAAATTAAAAGCTCTAAATAATCCTAGCGAAGACAATCTGGAATACTTCCGAATCTCAAAGAACGAAACGACAAAATTGCTCAAAAATAAAAAAAGGGAGTATCTTAAAAATAAAATAATTGAAATAGAAACTAATAGAATCGAAAATAACGTAAGAGACATGTACAAAGGTATAAACAGATCACGTAAATATGTAGGGCCCGTAACGTCTGGAATTAGGGATGATAATAACAATATTCTGACCGATCCGGTTGACATATTGAATAAGTTTAAGGACCACTTTGACAATATTTTAAATACGGGAAATTATGATCTGTGTCCTCCTTCTGAGTACCAGAGTGCTGAACCGTTAATAGAAGGACCAAGTAAAGAGGAAGTTGAAGTAGCTATCGGAAAATTAAAATCATATAAAGCAGCGGGAATCGATAATATTCCTACTGAACTAATTAAGGCATGCGGAGAAGCTGGAGTTTCTAAAATACATCGGTTGGTTAAAAAGATCTGGGTGAACGAGAAATTACCTGAAGAATGGAAAGAATCTATTCTTATTCCGATTCACAAAAAGGGTCCGAGGACGGATTGTAATAACTATCGAGGAATTTCACTCCTTCCGGTATGTTATAAAATATTCACTTTAATCTTAACCAGTCGAATCACGGAATACGCCGAGGAAATTATCGGAGACTACCAATGCGGATTTAGACGGAATCGTTCGACTATTGATCAAATATTTTCTTTACGGCAAATATTAGAGAAAAAATTGGAGTATAACGGTATTGTTCACCAGCTGTATATAGATTTTAAAAAGGCTTACGATTCTATTGACCGCCAGAAACTGTATAATATTCTAATCGAGCAGGGGATTCCAAAAAAACTAGTAAATCTAGTCAGGATGTGCTTGACGGAGACACTCAATAAAGTTAGAATCGGTAATAATTTGTCCGAAAAATTTGAGGTTCGTTCGGGCTTAAAACAGGGGGATTCTCTTTCGCCTGTCCTGTTCAATTTGGCATTAGAACATGCCATTAGGGAGGTAATGCGAACCGAGAAAGGGTTGGATCTGGGCGGGACAACATCCGTGCTGGGCTATGCTGATGATCTGGTACTGTTAAGCGAAGACGTTGAAACTATAAAACTAAATACGACAACGTTAATGAAAGCCGGTAAAGAACTAGGACTCGAAATAAACGTGGATAAAACAAAATATATGGTTAGCTGCAAAAATGGCGATACTACTGGTGATATCGATATAGATGGTAATATGTTTGAACAGGTAGATAAATTTAGGTATCTAGGTTCTACGATAACTAGAAAAAACGAAATTGAAGAAGAGATTAAGGTTAGACTGAAGGCGGGGAATGCTTGTTATTTTTCTGTGACAAAACTACTTAGTTCGCGCCTCTTGTCCCGAAACTTAAAAATTAGAATCTATAAAACAATTATCTTGCCTACAGTTCTTTATGGATGCGAAACTTGGCCGCTTACATTAAGGGATGAGCAGCGTCTTAAGGTTTTTGAAAATAAAGTATTGCGTAGAATATTCGGACCGAAGAAGGATGAGTTAACCGGAGAGTTCAGACGGTTACACAACGCCGAATTGCGTGAGCTGTATCCGGGTAATATAATTGAGGTAATTTCATCGCGGCGAATCAAATGGGCTTGTAAAGTTGTTGGGCTTAGTAACGAGAGAATTCCTAAAAGGTTAATATTTGCTGTGCCGAATGGTAAGCGTCCGAGGGGTAGACCGAAGCGAAGGTGGGAAGATTGCATTAAAGCCGATCTGAAGGGACTGGGTTTGGACGGCGAACGGTGGAGGGAGGTGTGTAACAAGCGATTGGTGGTGTCGGCATCGAACCTTCGGGTTCGCTAAGCCTTATTATTATTATTATTATTAGTTTTTTTGAGTAATGAGTTATTATAATTGGGTTTTAATGTATTAATGTCATATTTATTTGTAATATTATTGGTTTTTAATGTATTAATGCCATATTTATTTGTAATACTATTGAATTTTAATTTATTAATGTTATATTTTATAGTTCGAGTGGTTCACAAAGTGCTAACAGCTCAGCAGCAAGCTCAGAACCATCTAAGGTGAACTTAATAAGTGCTGTTGGTGGTTCAAGTAAAATAATACATCCTCCAGAAGATATATCATTGGTAAGGCATTAAAGTAAAAAATAATATATATAAATTAATATAGTTGATTGATATTTGCATTTATGAAATTGAAATCTTATATTAACTATTGTTCACACTTCTTGAATACTGATTCTCCCTGAATTTTCAACATGATGCATTTATTTCTTATTATTGTATTGTACTAATTAAGTCTTATATATCTATTCATATTAGTTTTATAATTAATGAGGTTAAACTACTATATTTCATGACAAAAGAGCAATTTTCCAATGTTTTTGTTCATCAAATAGGAGGAGTATTTAGCGAAACTTCCAAAATACCAAGGAAGTTTGCCAGCAACACCTCCTGCTGAAGATACACCATCATCTTCATCTCCTCCTCCTACCACTACAGCACCAGCCACTGTAACATCACAGCAGCCTCCAGAGGTAAATCATTATTTTTATAAATTAAATGTTTTTCATTGTAATCTTTCTGGTGACAGTTTTTACTTTCACTTACCTATATATGTAATATTTAGAAAGTATTGCGATCATGAAAATTTTCGAATATGAGTTTTCAATGGAAATACACGTTATGAGGTTTCCTGAGTCCAAATAACCAATTGCGGTAAAATGGTCTGTGTGTATGTATGCGAACAGTCTAGCTCAAAAAGGAAAAGTCGTACGGAATTGATATTACGTATTTAAGACAGGAATGATTAAACTCTGTATATCATTGTACAATTAAGTGCCATTTAATCTTATTTAGGTCTTATCACCATTTACAGAGCTTAACTGCTGAAATGTTCAACATGTCTTCCTCTAAAGTACCTGTAATTCAGTTTATTGTAAATAATTAACTATCTATCATAATTAGGAGTTATGGAAACATGCTAAATATAACTTGAAAGAATTTGATCATTAAAAAATTAAGAAAAAGGAAAAATGTTTATTTAGGTCGAAAATGAATCTCTGAAATTATAGTCAGAAGGTATATGTATAATGTATCATTGGAAAGTGGAGAATTAAAAAAAAAAACAGTATCTAATATAGAATGTCGTAGAAAGTAATGAAGAGTGACGCAAAATTATAAATAATAATTTGTGGAAACTAATATTATTTGAAGGAAATGAAATGAAATGTACTAACTAAATGTAAACTTTTAAATTTATTTGAGTTTGAAAAAAAAGGATTTAAAATCCACCTAATCAAGGCAATGAGATTGTTAAAAAAACTATTTCATTGTGCTTGTGTGAAAGAAGAAGTAAAATATAAAAATATTTCATGGTCGTATAAAGCATATGTTTATAACATTAAATACATTAACTGTAATTTAATAATTCTAGCTCTAGTATGATATTTAAATAATTAAGTATCAATGTCTGTTTATTCTGAAAAAATCGTCATCAAATTTTTTAGAAAATTAAATTAGTGAATAATTCGAAAAATTTTCTCTTTGTGAAATCCCAACTTATCCGCTTTCAATTAGTGTGTCAACTTTTGACCTGTCTATGGCAGGCAATGAAAATCTCATAATTTCATTTTAGTAAACTTTACAACGGAAAATAACAGTATAATAACTAATAGGCGTACAATCTATAATCATTTATAGGTTTAATATACAGATATACTTTCAAATCTCCCTAGGCATATATAATGTCGTCACGGTCATAGAAATTGCATCACATATTTCTTTTGATTCTAATGCTAGAAACGTTGATTCCATTGAATGTTTTTATTTTTGTTTACTTGTTAAGGTTACAAGAAAAATTTACCAATGTTTCTCAGTCCAGATCTAACAAATGCCAGATTAAAAGCTATAATTATGAACTGTATAAAAAACTTTCCTTGTAAAAAAACATTAAAGTTATGACGTTACATGAAGTAAAAAATTTTTCACGGAAAATAGTAACGAGGATAGGGTACCACCAATCAGTGGCAGTCATAGTTTTAATGAAGAAAAAAAGTATCATGAAGCGAATGAAAGAAACTGGGAGGAGAAAAAAAAAAAAAAAAAAATGAAAACTTTAACCACTTAATTGTGCGATTGATTTTAGAATATCGTTTCATAACTGGCAAAGAAATATCCAAAGATCTTGTAGTAGCAATCTGGTTATAAAATAAAATTTTTACTAAGCGATACAATTTCTATGACTGCAACTGTAGCTCAGAGACTGGAGATATGTGATTTACAAAAATAGATAAAGTAATGAGGTTTTTATTACTTACTGTTGATAGTTGTTTTTTTGTCATTAGTTTACAGCAAAAATGACTACAAATATTTGTTGCAAACTTTTTGTTTCTTGTTTTTCCATAATCTGGGATGTTTTATAATAAACATAATTGCTTAAATATACTTTTTATTTTTAAGAGGAAAAAAAAATCTGTACCATTACCACCCATAGGTCTGGGGCTTAGTATTATTTATGGAATGTACTGTTTCTTGGCCAACAGTTGTGCAAGGAAATGATTTGGCTGAGATCACGCTCAACTGCCAAGTTTTCCCCCCTTAATAAATTATTTAATTAAGGGTGCCCATTTTATAGAGGCTGGGTGTGCCCCGGGAGAATCTCCCGATCTCAGGGTTGCCCGACGGCTGACGAAACAGAATAAATAATTTTTCTGCCTTGAACCGGGATTCGAACCAGGGATCTTGAGCACTAGAAGCTCAGTGCCCTACCACTGAGCTACACCACTACCGAAAGAAATTATAAATATTAATTTTTAAAATATTTTTCATGTAACGTATTCTAGAAATATATGCTTATTTATCAATGACAAACCAAATGTTTCTAGTCCTGCTGATTGCCTCAGTTGTTTTCATGAAAATTTTAATATTAGGATTAAGAACATTTATTTTGTCCCTTATAAATACGGAGTGATTCCTGTAATTCAGATCTAGATGAAAAACATAGTTTCATAAACACTTTACTGAAAAAATATTTAAAGAATCAGTATTTTTCATTTATTTGTTTATATAAATAAGAAGTGTATTTAAACAATTATGTTTATTATAAAACATCGCAGATCATGAAAAACAAGAAATAAAATCTTTACAACAATTAATTGTAATTTTTTGGTGAAAACAGGGGTATTTTACTTGACAGGATAAAAAATCACATAATTTTTTTATACAACTTGAGGTGAATCTCAAATTTTTCTCTAATAAATCTCAACTTAATTAATACAAACTAATGCTTATTAAATGAAGAAGATTTTCTAAAAGTGGGGTATTTGTAATATATTTGGTTGATGATAGGAAAAATTGTGAATAATGTATAATTTTTTTAAAAACAGAACTTAGCTTAGTTTAGCTGCTCAAAAGTCTTTTTTTGAAGACTTTTGAAGGAAACGAGTCATGGACATAGACTCTTCATGATGGTCAGAAATTAATTGCACTTAAATTTTAGATGTGATAAATATATTCCAAAATAAGAATTTTTTTTTTATCCAGAATCAAAGAGAAATCAGATAGCAAGAGAATGGGATAGATGTTCACCGAAGCTTTTTGGGTGTTATTTTAACTGTTCACAATTTTCAAAACGTTGATTGTTTGTTTAGAACATTTAAATGAGTAGATTTAAAAGAAAATAATTTTTCAAAGGATCAAAAAATCTAAATGTTTCATTATTGGAGTTTACAAAATATTTCACAAAACTTATTTTTATCTACAAAATATTTCACAAAACTTATTTTTATCGCAAACTAATGTTTATGAAGCTTCCATAATCAACTTAAGACTATGAAACTTGTGTTTATGGAAATCTCTCATTTTGGTTGTATTTATAATAAAAGAGATTCCTATTGTCACAATAATATTATGATTGTTTATACTTTTTTTTTTTTTTAGGAACGGCGAGTACCTGTAAGTAGGATGCCAGTTGGTGTATCTGGTGGTATGCTTCCTCCAGTTTCTAGTGTTGCCATAATGGCCGGTGCTTGCCCTCCTCTGATAAGAGCTGCACCACCCACTATACCTTTAATACCTGCAAGTATGCCCCTTTTAAGGCATCCTCAAATGCAGTTACATCCAGGTATTTCCTATCAAGGTATTTGATTTTCTTCAGTATTTATTGCTTGAAAATTATAGTAATTTCACTTAATATATGTATACATAAATACACATGTAGACATACATTTATACTTAACACATATTCCAGTTTTTATTGTGCTACATATGCTCAATTGCTCTTTTTATTAAGCACACTTTATCTTGAACTTTTTATTTAAATTTCTGTAATAGTTTATATAAAAAAAAAAAACTTCAAACCTCAAGTTAATTTTTTCGATTGATAATAATATTTGGCATAGAAGATTTTCTAGAGATCCTACTTAAAATTCTTAGTTAAAATAAAATTTGCTTAAAATAGAATGTATAACTTGGGCTGATAATGGTGGAGAGGGGATAAGTATGGCAAGTGAGCCTATTGATACTTTTTATCCTACCCTAAGAAAACCAATAGGGATTTTTCCTCCATGTGTATCTTCCTGAAGAAATGTAGAAGGGATGTTCTTCATTCAATGATAAAAATAAAACTTATATATTTTTTTTAAAGAAGACATGATAAATTGGATTGGACCTGATGAAACTAACATCTGATGGTAGAGTAATCAGTCGTTCAATTAAACTATGCCATAGCATTATATGGACAAACATAAACAAGAAATAAATAAATGGGCGATATGGATATTTGTCAAATTCTGGAAAACATATTGCATTGTATAATTAAGAATTGATGTATGTTACTCCTTGAAGTTATCTTATTTCAATGTGTCTACTTTTTTAATTAATGTGTAGTAAATTTACTTATTGTTATAATCATTATAATAGTCTTTTATCAATATATTGTTTTTGGGTTATTAATCTTATTTATAATTAAAAACTTTGCTTGAATAAAGATACAGAGAAGGTGCAGTGTACGGATTAATAAATTTTACATGTTCTGAAAATTCAGCTTTTTAATTTGAGGTTTGGTCATAATATATATTTATTACCACCATGGAATACAACAAAACGGTGAGTAAGAAGATATGTTTTTCTCTTTGATTTCATCAGTTTGACAAAAATGTAGTAGCTTAAAAGCTTCTGTGATACTTGATTTTATTTACTTGGAGAACAAATTTTCTAAAACTCCTATTTTTTTTGTGAAGTTTGTGGATTTTGACAATTTATTAGGTTCTGATTAATTTGTTTGATTCAAAAGTATAACATTAATCAAGTGAATATTTAATATTTTGAATCTTATTCTACCATAAATAATTTATTGGCTTTGCTTGGCAATGGTTTTACTTATATCATATCCATTTAATAATATTCTACAACATTAAATTTGAACTAAGAACTTATTTATTTATGTTATGTTATTTGGCAATCAAAATAGGCTGCTATAAGAGAATAATGACATTTTCTCTGGTTGTAATTTAAAAATCATTCCAATTTATTATCAAACAAATGGTGACATACACCATTAGTTAAAGTATAAAATAATGTACATCTCAAATGTTATCTAATATTGTACTGAAACAACTTTCAGGTAAAGTAAAATGATTGTTAATTTTATAAAATTGATAAATGACAATAACAGTAAATTTATTGATTATTATGAGGGCTCCATAAACGTTTTTTTGAAAAATGTTTCTAAAGAAGATGTTCTAAACAACATTTTTTCTAATAGCAAAGTTCTCGGCTTATTATATAAGTTTCACTATTATTTACTTCAGTACTGTAAAAAAAAGTTGTAGTAAAAGAGAAATAAGTAGTAATTGGGATTATAGATATAATTATCTTGAATAAATTATTTGATACTCATACCCAAAATATACTTTCAGAATTAGCTGTTTAAGTTTGGAAACAGTTCAGGCTTGATATGAATTTTTTATTTAACCTTTCTTTTTCTCTTGATCTTGCCAAAACACTGCTCCAGCTCATTTTATGATCAGAACTGTTGATGGGTGTAACTAGGATCTTATCTTGGGAGGCAACTAATAATGATAAGGATAAGATGTCAGTGCAAAATGTGACAAAGAAGTTATGGACTTCTTACAAAAAAATCTATGATTTTAACCAAACTTTTTTTTTATTAGTTTAAATCACTATGGTTGAATTCCTTATCTAAATTATATGGTTTGATCATTATTTCTTATTCACTCAAATTAATTTATTTTATTTATGAGTTTTTGAGCAGCTATATCTGCGCCTGGGTATGCCTATTTGACTTCCTGTTTTCATATAATACGATACCTATATGTATTTTTAAATAATTAAGCTTTTGTTTCATTTATCTTTTCTTTAAATATTGTATCTAAATATAAACTTGTTGTGTTGTAGGTTTGATAGGTGGTGTTGTTCCTCCGCAGGTGGCTTACGGTGGAGGTCCACCAATGTTTCCGGCAGGACCACCTGCTGTCCTCACGCCCATGATGCCCCCTCGCTTCAGATGATCAGGTTTGCTGGGGGCCCTTTGCCTCCTTTGGCCCCAGCCTTAACATACCTCCTCCCGACCTCTCCACTTCCAGTCATTTTACAAAGTTGAGAGAGATGTTTGTTGTTGGAAAGAGATATTGCTAGTTTTACACTTTGACTTGAAAGCATTTAATTTATTTTTTGATTGATGCAATTTGATGATCGACACATTTGTACCACCTTCTTTACTGGTTTTGTGCTTAAGAAAATATTTTTATTCTTTCTCTTTTTTTTATTTCTTTTTTTTATTATTATTCATGATAATAAATTGTATTTTGACTCTTATCTGATTTGTAATCTCTCTCAACTAATCCACAGTAAGGGATATTTTGAAGGGCTTCAAATATCAGCACCTTCTGTTTTATCCTGTAGATCACAGTTGGGATTTATTTTGTGGTTATACAGTTATTTTCTTTTCTTTTTCCTTGACCAGTGTAGATTTTTGACTTCTTTTTTTTTTTTTTCTCCTTTTCTTGAACTGTGTTGCAATAGCAGTTTTATAGTCATTGTATGCATATTGCTTATTTTAAAGTTTTCTTATTATTGGATATAGAAGTATACTGATCGCACGGACTAGGCTATGGTATGCACTAGGAGGGAGGGAGGGATTGTTAGGTGTGGTGGGAATAATGTCCTTGGAGGAAGGAGAGGTAAGGTGATATGAGGTAAGCCTTCATGACCTTTCCTTAACATTCTAAAGGAATCCCAGCAAATCGTTGAACCTATTGTTAATAACCGATGAAAATTAACCTCAAAAAATTCTGCAATACTTCTGGACTGGTTGCAGATTTTTGATATCATTGATCTTGGAAAGAAGAGCACTTTTTAAAATTTTTATTAATTTTTAATTAACAGTTTTTGAATGTTGAAACATCATTTCTTTCTTTTATTTTAATTTTATTCTGTCGCTTTCACAATAGCTCTATACTTTTTTCTAGTATTTTATCAATTAATATTTTCTTTATTTCAAGTGCTCCTATTATTCATTTGCTTAATTAATTTGTAATTGAGGTTATGTTTACTATTGTAGCTGAAAAATGTATTATATTCAGAAATTGATTTTACCAATGTATATTGATAGGAATATAAAGTTTTAAATGACTACATAGAGCATTATAAAAGTAAGTATATTGTATATTTCTCATTATAAAATGATTTTTTGGGCTTGATTATAATAGAATCAAGCATATACTGCGTGGATGACTTGTAATGTCTTAGTAGTTTAATGTATTTCTCAGCCTTAAGCGGTAAGTTATTGTATAGTAATATATTTTGCTCTCATCTCAACTGGATCAGCGAACCTAGGTAAAGGAGTTAGGTGATTTTGAACAAAGTACTTCATTTATCATTATTTATTGCTTAAAAAAACATTTTTAATGTCAGATATTTTTTGCAAACATTTTCTTATTAGCATTCATCTTGAAATATATTATGATTTTTGAGAATTGTTTGAGTCAATTGCCTGTTATCTACTTCTATTTCACTTCATAAGCTGTATTTAACAGTATTTTTGTTTTTGTTATTGACATGAAATGATGCCTTTGATTTGATGTTGCTTTATGCAGATTAAAAGCTATTATTATACTGAAATAATATAAAAAATTAAATTAATAGTTTAGATAAAATGTCCATAAGTCATCAAAGGGGTTGAGTTGACAGTAATTGAATAGGTACAATGAAGTGCTGTTCAAAACACTTATAATCCTTAATACTGCAGGTTTGTTAATACCTATATTTACATATTTCTTTTTTTCTACTATATGCATCTTCCAGATATTCTGGTAAGTGTTGTTAAGTGTTTACTTATAATAAGTAATTATTTGTAACTTTTGTTACTTACAAATAGTCATATGTATGTACAAATTTTAAATTAAATTAACATGAGTATTTAATATACATATTGTTGTTGTTGGAATATATATATGTCTGTATATATGTATATATATATACTATATATACATACATTTTTAATTGGTACTTAATATGATGTTTGATCATAAATAATTTATGTGTTAAAGTTTCAATTGAGTTGTTTAAGCAGTTTATTGAATGTGAATTTGAGGTAACAGTGGTTTGGTTTATTAAATTTAAACTTTTAAGATTGTATTATTTTGTGGTGTCGAGAGTAATACTTTCTGCTGATATGGATATTCAATCGCTAGTTAAAGGTACAAATTAGAATTAGTATTAGGCTACAGTTCGCTCCTGCAGTACAGCAAGGTATTGAATTTATATATTTCATAATTACTAAAGAAAAAGGTCTCACTTGCAGAGCTTCTAATCAGGTAGTGTTTTCTTCCTACTGCTCTTGTGCTGTTGGACTTCTGTCCCCTGTTGAAGGCAGGCGATTTTTAAATCACAGTACAACATCTGTTAATTTATGACTGACCAATCACAGCCTGTCTGTTGGACTAGTTCCCCTGTGTTACAGGCGATTGAGAATGTATCTTTAATTTATGTCACTTTATGTTTAATAAATTTTGATCCATTATTCAATCTTAATTTCAATTTTCATTTTAATAAGAGACTAAAATGTATCATGGAGTGACTAATAGATACTTGATCAATCACAGCGGCTGTTGGACCTTTGGTCCCTTGTTTATGAACAGGCGATTGTGTCCACTTTGTATTATTTATGTATATTATGTCTGATCATATTTCCTTCTGTTGAAAATGTAGTATTTTCATTTTGATATTTTTCTTTGAAAATTGATCATTTGTCTAAATGATTGCAGAACTGTATCTGATTGATGAGCCAGTGCCATTGTGTGATTAAGTTGAACAACCCGGTTTGTAAGTACACACTCATTTTATTTCATGTTGTGTACATTGAAGTTTGTTTTTGATCTAGGGTTTCACTCCTCATAAGCATGAACTTGAAATTCACATTCATATTGTACCGATTTTGTTTTTAAAATAAATATCATTTAATATGTATGTAATTAGGCCAGCTTAGCAATTTACCAATGTAGAAAATCATATCTATGTTGGTGGGTTATGTTTTTATTTTAAATAAATATATTGAAAAGATTGTATATGTATATATATTTTTTTAATTTACCTTGTCATTAAATTCTTTTAAGAGCATGGTCATAATCTAGATTATTTTTGCTTATATTATTTAAAACCTTTCATCTATTTTCTCCTAGTTGCCTTGTAGTCTTAAATGGGCAGTGAGTAGTTTTTATTTTGACATATTGCACTACTTTTGAACCACATTAATTTCATTGTCACAGACCGGTAAATCACTTGTTTTCTTCACTGTTACAAAGTTAAAATTTCATAAAACTGCCAATTTTTTATTTAATTTTGTATACCCTGCTATTAAATTATGGAAATGAATCCAATAATTAAATATATTTTAAATCAGGATAAATTGGCCATGTTTTCTGTTGGTTACAGGTTATTTCAAAGGTTTTCTGTTTTTTTGCTATATTTTTATTAGAATCCTTTTCACTTACATTTTTAGTTTTTAGACATTTTTGAAACAAAAAATATGTTTTTATTAAATGTTTTATTTCAATCAAATTCATTATAATTTTTAAAATCACAAATGTTGAAAAAACCTTTTTTTTTTTTTCCTAAACTACCTTTAATATCCATTTACACTTATTTTTGCAAATGGTGTTGAAATTAAAAAAAAAAACAGTACTAGCAAATAGTTAAAAAATTATTCCCATTTTATTGAAATCCTATTTAAATTAATCTGGCTTATCTCTACTTTTCTTAATAATTTTAGTCCAATGATCTTTAAGGAGTTGAATTTGTAATGATTAAGACAAAAATTTAAATCATCTACTGTTTACGTCTGATTCATCAAATATGGACAAACAGTATGGAGGTTTGGAATTGGTTCAACAAACAAAAAGAAGAAAAATAAAAAATTAAACAAAAAGGAATTTTAATACAGAGAGATATAGATGTTTTTTTTTTTTATGTAATAATGTTGGTCTTATTTAATTTTCTGGCTGTATTAACATTGATTTCGTTTTCTAATGTGGAAGCTGTTTTGTGTTTGTTAATCCTGGTTACAATCTTTTTCTTTTTCTTGGATTTTTTATATTAAATTTTATTCCTTATATGTTCTGTTTAATTGAATTGGTTATGGGTGATTTCAAAATTTTGGTATATCAGCTTACTTATTTTGTTATTTAAAACTATCAAAATATATGATTTTTGTTTGATGATGATGCAAAAAATTCAAATGAAAAATTATATAAAAATGACAAAGTCGCATGTTTAAATTTTGTTGATGTAACAAGTATGGGTTTCAGGTAGGTATATGTATCCTCGGAAGTAAAAGTCATGGTACTTGACATGTAACAAAGATATAATTTGTGATAAGAGGAAAAACATCAAATTTTCATTGCTACCGAACTTCAGGGTTCTGAGGTATAACACTTCTAAAGTGACTTTTTTCCTGTTCAGATTTTTGTTTGACTTTGATGGTGCTACAGTGTATTTAGTTGAACCAATTGACTTGTGAATTTGAACTTTTATGTATTTTGCAGTGCTTTAGTGCCTTTATCCAACATATTTAATCTATTTTGATTTTGATCTAAATCTATCTTAAATGTCTTTTCCATCAATTTTACTGATTCAAACATTAAAAAAAAAATTGCTTTTCGAAAAATATTTTGATCTATAAAGATATGATTTATGAAATTGTGTATGCCTTTTTGGTTAAAATTGTTTTAAAATATTTTGCATTATTATTGGAGATTATACTTCTGAGAAAATTCCATAAAAATTATTACCTATGGAAGTGTATGTAAGTATATATTAGTTGTGTAAAAAAGATTTTCTAAATAAAATATAAGCTAAGGGGGAAAAAACATAAAGCTTATCTAAGTGAAGCTTTTTGCTTTTCTGACAAACTAATTATCATTTTGACTCTGGTCCAAATAAATGCCTCCTAGGCATGAGAAGAATATTTTGTAGGTTAATTTTTTAAAAGATTATTTTGTATTCTTAAGGA